GTTGCGCGAGGTCTCGAGGCGACGTAGTACTGCGAGAAGGTGATGATGTAGGTGGGTGAGGGAGCGCGCGGAGCGCACGAGGAGACAGAGGCAAGGGGAGGACTGGGGTGGTCGGTACGCTAGTCGCTGTCGCTGTTGCTGATTCGTATCGCTGTCGGTGGTTCGCACGTAGATAGATATGAAATGTGTGTACACGGAGACGCTGGTGAGCCGGGTGCTGGAATACGATACAAGAAAGAGCAAGTCTATTATACGCATCGTCTAGGGTCCGTGCGCCATCATCCTCGATCCTCTCGATCCTCTCGATCCCTCCCAACCGTCCTGATCCTGGTGATCTTGAGTTGTCGGCCGCCTGCGCAGGTATCGATCGTGCCTGTTGAGCGGCAGCCGTACGTCCGGAGCGTAGTGGGTCGAGGCGACGAGCGACGAGAGCAAAGAGTAGCGCGCAGCCACGGGCGTTGAGTAGCGAGAAGCACGCCGCGAGCAGGAGTGATGATGTCAGCGCTGACATTGATGTCGGTACGGCCCTGCGTCATCGCCGAGCGCTACATCCCCTCCCCACTTTGAAAAGTGACCCTCCTGGGTCACCTGCGGGGGCGGGAGGAAGTCGGCGACGGGGTGTTTGATGTGTAGATAGAGCATGAGAACAAATAAAAGAGACCTGGTTCTGGAAGTGCGCGACGACGGGGTATGAGTGCGAGGGCTCGAAAGCACACTCTGTGCACTTGTGAAGAGCATCATTGGACGTCGAGACATCCTCAGCCAATATCGAACGCGGTGAGGAAGTGGTAGGAGAGACAGGAAGTGGTAGGAGAGACAGACAGTCCGGGAGATGGAAGACCGAAGTCAACCGGTGGAAAAAATTCACGCTCCTGTGGGCGTAGACACGTCGCGAACGAACGAATCGTCGTGCGTGGGGTATCCAGGAGCAAACGGAAGCGGGTTGAAGTCAGGCGAAAGGTCCTCGATGGTTTCGGCGGCAGTTGCAGTTGTGAGGTCGGCATCGGAGAGACCAGTGAGGTGAGCGATGTCGACGTTAACGGCGGCGCGGTTGCGGTACGGGACGAGGCGAGCGGCGGCATACCGAAGGCGAGAGAGACAGCCGTCGAGCTCAGCGAGGAGGTAGGCGCGACCGGCGTTGCGTCGCACGACGACCATCGGGCCGAGATATCGCGGATTCGTCTTGCCGGAGAGGTTCTTTTCGTTGTCCGAGTTGCGCACGAGAACGAGCGCGCCGGGCTGGAAGTCGTGGTCGACGATGTTGGCGGCGTTCTGGGCGACAGAGCGGGTGGTGGAGGCGACGCGGGCCTCGAAGACTTTCTTGCGAAGAGCTTCCAGATCTTCGTCGCGCTTTTGGAGTGCTCGTGCGCGGGCCGCAAGAAGGTCGGTGGTCGAGGCGGGTAGAGTGTTGGTAGGGTAGTCGACAAGCCAGGTGGCCTCCTCGAGATCGAACGGCAGGACGGGCTCGACGCCATGGGCCATAAAGAATGGGGATTGCCCCGTAGAGCGCTGGATAGTAACACGTTCGGCCCAAAAGACATGGGGTGCATATTTGTACCAGTGCGCAATGTCGTCGCCGGCGGTCTTGACGATTGCCTCACGAACGTCGAAGTGACGTCGCTCGACGAGGTTGGCACGCGAGTTGTATGGGGAGATGCGAATATGATGGATGCCGTACTTGTTCTTGAGCCAGGTCGCCGCCGCGATGAACTGCGGGCCGTTGTCCGTGACTATCTCCTCGAGGCCGCCCCAACGGCATAAGACGTCTTCGAACAGCCATCTTCCGATCTGTTCGGCGTTCTCAATGCGCAGTGCGCGCCATTCGGGCCATGCAGAGAGAGAGCACCGGCCGTGGACGATGTATTTGAACTTGTTCGCGACCGGCATGTGCATAGTATCGCAGTAGAGTTTTCGAAAGAGAGGCGCGGGATAAGCAACAGTTGGCGGGATCGTGATATGATGAGTACGCCGTAGTTGGCACTCGAGGCAAGTATCGTCGAACCAGGCAACGTCCGCGTCGAGGTGAGGCCACCAGAAGCGCAACAGGAGCTGTCGCCGTGTCGCATACTTGCCCTTGTGACCGAGAGCGTCGTGGGCCTGCTGCAAGAGCGAGAGACGCCGGATCGGGTCGGAAACCACGAGCTGATGAGCACCATCTGTGCCGCGGCGCCAGAGGCGGTCGTCGAAGAGGAAGAAGTCGTGCGCATAGCGCAGAAATCCGTGGAGCTGTCCGGTATCGAGCGAGAGCGGTGCGAGTGGGTCCCGTAAGTAGCTGTCCACCTGTCGAAGTCGGGTGTCGGCGGCGATAGCTCTGTCATCTCGAGGTGGCAGCGTGGGTGCGGGATCGCCGGATTCAGGCGCGGCGGTGTCGGACGGGCTGCCGTTAAAGACGCAGACGGTTGGCGGCGCGCGGACGGTGTGAGACGGCGAGTGGTCTGAGGTGTAAGCAAGAGCGAAGCCGCAGGCGTCGTCGATCCACGCGTCGGCGGCATCGGCGGTATCCAATGGTTCATGGTCAGCGGGATGTCGACGAGAAAGGCCATCCGGACCTTTGTGCTGGGCAGCGGGGACGTGCTCGAGGTGAAAGTCAAAGAGCTTGATCGCAGCAATCCAGCGGTTGATGGTGGCGTTAGGCTGAAGGTCGGGATTGTTGAGCATCCCCTTGATGCTCGAGGCGTCCATTTCAACGACCAGATCCTTCACCCCAATCAGATGAATGCGCTCCTCCCGGAGTGCGCGGAACAGGCCGTAGAGTTCAATTTTTGGTTGGCTGTATCGGGACTCCCGCTCATTCCACGGTATTGATCCAAAGCGTGCCGGGTAGCGCCGCCCGTCTGCACCGAGTTGAGATAGAATATAACCGACAGCGATGATGGAGGAGTCCACTGAGAGAAAGACCTTCCTGTCGCATTCATAGTCGATCGGACGGAGTGCGCGGGAGTTTGTAAAAGCAGATTTGAGCGCGTCCATCGAATCTTGCTGCGCGGAGCCCCAGTCGAAGTCCACGTCCTTCTGAGTGAGCCGGACCAGTGGACGTGCAATGCGCGCAAAATCTTTGATGAACACCCGCATCACGCCGCAGGTACCGAGAAAAGACCGAACATCAGTCAGAGAGGCGCACGGAGGCCAGTCGCAAATAACGCGGATGCGCGATTCGTCAGGGATGCGGCCGTCGTAGGAGCAGTGGTTCCCAACAAGTTCGATAACGGGGGTGCAGAGATATGACTTGGGACCTGAAAATGTACCGCCAACAGCGCCCATACGATGGAGAATCCGGTGCATTGTGGTGAGTTGCTCGAAAACGAAACGTCGAACGCCGGAGTTGCCAGGGATCGTCTCATAGGTGTTGTCCGAGAGTTCGTAGCGAGAGCGAGGACCTTTTACGGGGACATCGTCAATATAAGGAGTGGTGTACAGGGGAATTTCGTCTTGAAGGATGTAAGTAACGTCGGCTTGCATGATCTGCGCCGCGTTCGTGTAGCCCATGGGGATAGCGGTGAGACGGAATGTGCCGAGTGGTGTCTGAAAAGTGGTGTAGTCGCGGGAGCGTGCATCGAGAGAGCGTTGATCGAAAGCCACAAATAAGTCGAGAATACCATAGCATGCACGGCCAGCGAAGTCCTCAGCCATTTGATCCATATTTGGCGGTACGGCTGCATCGCGGATGGTGACGCGGTTGAGCGGCTGTAAGTCGTGTACAATACGCAGGGTCTTGCCATCCTTCTTGGGCACGCAGAACCAAGCAGAGCGGTACGATGAGTTCGACGGTTCGTAGGTGCCGGCGGCGATCTTTGATTTGATGATCCGAAGCACCTCGTCACGGATGCCAGGCGCGAGCGGAATATTTTTGAGAACCCACGGAACGTGGTCGACGGTGGGGATTTTAATAGGATCAAACCAGTCCGAGGAGAACTGGCCTTTCTCCGACTCGTCCCAGGCCAACGCATGCTCGTTCTGGCGAAGAACCCAATGCGCAAGACCCACTTCGTCTCGCAGCAGGAAGCCGCTGGGATCGATGTTCTGCGCACGCCTGCGCTCCTCAGTGTAGCGCGCTCCAGGGACGAAGGGCGGAGGGATAGTCGGAAGGGGAATCATGCTGGCTAGAACGTCCGGCGGGCTGCGTCGGACGATGCGGAACTCTTCGGGGGTTGTCGCCGAGACGGGAAAGGTACGCTTGGCGACTTTCTTGTACTTTGTGCCGAAGACCGATGCGTCATTGTCAGAAGGAGTGGAGAGGAAACTAAAGAGATTGAGGTCGAAGATAGAAGCATGGTGAGAGAACGAGAGAGAACGAGCAGGTACGGTGTCCCAGGCAAGAGACGAGAGGCTGTCTTGGGCGAAGAAGGAGAATGAGACCGGAGAGATGAGAGCTGAGAGGTTGTTTTGGAAAGGAAGTACGGAAGGCGTTATTGAGTTTTTGGTTATGTGAGAGCAAGAACCTATGAGGGAAATAGAAGCAGGCAAGTGGCGAACGCGATGAGATCCGGCTGGAGAGACTTGACAGATATAGGTATTGATTAGGTTGTAAGGGATGTCGGCGAGATCGGTGAAGACAAAGTGAGACGGAGAAACAGCGGGTATATTGGGTCGCAGGACGTCTCGACGGCATGAATCCGAATCATTGACGCTCACGGAAAACCCTGCTGCTTGCGGGGAGAGTGTCGGGCGGGACGTTCGAGCGTCGGAACTAGAACGCGCTCGCCAGTTTCTGGGTGTGTGAGTGTTAGTACCGACGATCCATCCGGCGAGTCCTTTGTTACGCAAGCTGTGTGAGTAAAGAACGAGCGCCCGAGCAAGACCTCCCAGGGTGCGTCTTCGATGACCTGGACCTGCAAATAAACCTCCATCCCGCCGATGTTGAACAAGACGTTGCGCAAGCCACCCAGAGTGCGTGTAGATGTAGAGTTTGCAGCCGTGATACTGATAGTGTCATCGAGATAGAGTGGTAGGCCAATCGCTGCCCAGATATCCTTGCGCATCATGACCCCTTCTGAACCGGAGTCGATGACACATTCGGCCTCAAGCTGGTTGGAGATGAGCGGGCGCAGGACGCGCAACTTCTGGAGGCGGTGCGCCGATGGATGATCATGATCTTCACCGCACTCGCAGCGGAACGAGGTCGTTGGCGGCGGCCCAGATGTGTAGAGTGTCGTAGCAGACACGCCAACGTCCGCAGGTATCTTGCGCGGAGTGATGCGTGACGCGAGCTCGCGGCGGGCAGCGTAAGAAGCCCCGAGAAGTTGTCGCCCTGTTACGTTTGTCAGCGGAGCATCGAGGAAACCAACGACTAGCGCCTCCTCGACGGGTGCCACGGTCCGAACACCAGAATGCCCTACGGGGCGCGGTGCTTTCGGTGGATAGATAATGCGTGGAGCATGCGGAGAACTGGCAAGTGGACGGGGACCAGGCGCGAGTGTTGCAGCGGGAATCTGCGCGGGTCGAACTACCGGTGGTGAAGGGGCGGTGGGTGGCGCGGTAGAGCGTAACGGCACTGGAGGTGGAGATGCTTCACGATCGGGTGTCGGGTCGCGGATTGGCGTGGGCGCGGGTCGGTTGCGTATATCATCGTTGGCACGCCCCTCGTGTTGCTCATCGGCGAAGCGCACCGCTGATTTTCCTTTGTTGGCCCGTGACGAGACCCGTGTCTTCTCAACTCCTTCCGCAACGTCCGCGCGCCTTTTGGATAGTTCAGCCTCAAAGACATGGATCCGCGGGTCGCCTACAGCACATAAGGCAAGCTGAGTCCGCAAATATTGCTGAATAGGATCGGACTCATCCTCTTCCAGCTCTACAATGCGCGCAGAGGTGCCCGGAGATGCAGACGACGCAGATGTAGCCTCGAGCGAGAACCCGGAGGCCGAAATTGCCGAACAGGGTGGGGAGAACTCGAGGAAGTTGCTCGAGATGTGAGGAGGCTGATCGCGTGTCGCAGGATTAGCATCATCGCGTGGCATGGAAGCTGTTTGCCCAGGGTGTGCATGGTGCCACCCGTCGACGCGTTCCTTCATCGTGGCGCCAGGAATGATCCGACTGCCAGGGATGTACGTGCCGCCGGGCAAGGTGAGCCGCCCTTCGGGGCCGCGCGCAATCAGACCGAGCTGTAAATAACGTGCAACTTCCGCGCAGTTCCTAATAAAGCAAGAGCCGCCGCAAAAGTGGCAGTTGCCGCCCGCACCAGCGTAAGCCTGAGGAGGTGGGCGAGAGATGCCAAGTGTCGGAGCGGTTGAGCCGGGAGAGACAGCTGTCATGAATGTAGAGAACATGGCCTCGATCGAAGCCATGCGCGAGTCGAAAGCAGAGTTTTGGGCGTTGAGCGCGGTCTGGACCGCCGACGATAAATCCTCCTGCTTCAGTGAGAAACCCGACGGTTCGAGAAGCGACGCCGCTCCACGATGGCCCGACAGAATCGCGTCGGCCTCGGAGAACACCTTCGCCCGGTCGTAAGCAAGCTCGCTGTCGTGATCGGGGATGGTGAGAGTGAGTCGCATGATGAGAGATTTACGGAGCTCGCCGGCGGCGAAACCACGCAGGTACGCATAGTTAGCCTCGTTATCGGAGAAGATCTTGCCGCCGTGTTTGCGGAGCAAGTCATCGGCGAGAACCTTAAACCGTCGATTGTATTCACCGAGTTCCGCACGAGTAGCGATCACGGAGGCAGCCCGTGCTGTGACGAGGGCCTCCAAGTCGCCCCTAGTAGTCTGGCCTTCGATCGCGGCACCAGGGTATAGCTTGATAACCTCTTCTTTGAATTCGGCCCACGTCTTGGTTTGATCCGTAAATGCGCCAACCAACTTCCAGACGCGTGACTCGTTGTACGGGAGGTAGCGCAGCGAGGCATTGATCATCTCGCGCTCGCCGGTGATGCCGTGTTCGCTGAAGAGACGTTCGAGCTCGTCGAGATAGCCAGGCAGGTCGTTGGTATTTTTGAAGACCGGAGCGCTGCGATCATGCCGCGCGGGCATTGGAGTAGCCGCCATCGTAGTAGAAGTCGACGAGTTGTTGGCTAGAGAAGGATGCGGGGGAAATGGGGAGACGCGAGCGGCGGACTGAAATTCTTCGCGTAGTGAGCGAGGGCGGGCGGGTGTTGCTAAATGGTCTTGCTGATTTGGAGAAGGGGGTGACGGTGTAGGAAGCCGCCGAGGGAAGAAGCGTCCGCGGCTATCGCGCGGTAGCGCCGTTTTGGTGGTCAATGGGATAAGGGGTCAGGCAGAGTACGAGCTCGAAGTTCCCTCGCGGTGGGCTCCAGTTGTGGTGGTGCGAAGCCGGTGGGGCTGGGCTACGCGGTGTTGTGTTGCGCGAGGTCTCGAGGCGACGTAGTACTGCGAGAAGGTGATGATGTAGGTGGGTGAGGGAGCGCGCGGAGCGCACGAGGAGACAGAGGCAAGGGGAGGACTGGGGTGGTCGGTACGCTAGTCGCTGTCGCTGTTGCTGATTCGTATCGCTGTCGGTGGTTCGCACGTAGATAGATATGAAATGTGTGTACACGGAGACGCTGGTGAGCCGGGTGCTGGAATACGATACAAGAAAGAGCAAGTCTATTATACGCATCGTCTAGGGTCCGTGCGCCATCATCCTCGATCCTCTCGATCCTCTCGATCCCTCCCAACCGTCCTGATCCTGGTGATCTTGAGTTGTCGGCCGCCTGCGCAGGTATCGATCGTGCCTGTTGAGCGGCAGCCGTACGTCCGGAGCGTAGTGGGTCGAGGCGACGAGCGACGAG